AATATCATAAAAAAAATTTTTATTTTAAAAAATTTCGATTTAAGCCAAATCTTTCGATTTATTTTAAAAAATTATTTCGAAAATTTTACGGGTCCCTGCATGGAAGACTCGAGTTTGGGAAGGTGGACAACCCGGGAGGCCAACCACAGAAACTACATGGGCGAACTTTATTTATAATCTTTTTCAACGTCACGTGATGCATCGCTATGCGGAACGTTACTGTTTTGATTCATTGGATGTATAGCATCCGTTGAACTTTATCATCGCTGATATGGAAAAATAGTCATAAACCTTTCTTGCCCTATCTGCCTTTTTCCGAGAGCGTATTTGGTGACCTCCTTGGGCGAAACACAGATCATCTTTTCATTTATATTTGTGGTCTTGGAAAAACAATTTATAATGTCCCGCTATACAAGTTTTTCAGATATCCGGATGGATAGTACCATTTTTTCCAATACGCAGTTCACACCCACATTGCATACGAGCATACGCAAGTTAAAAAGCCAGAAAAATAAACTTTACTTTTTTATTACAACTAGTATTGCGAAGTTACAAGATCATCTAAATTACTTTCATATAGTATTTATGCGGATATCTTTTTAGGAGAAAATTGTGTTCCGTTTTCATTGCCTAATTTTAGTACTTCATAAAATCGCTGAGTATTTTTTCTAGTGCGTGATTTCCACGATAGAATCACCTTAATAGCTTTTATCAACTTCGGGAAACCTTCTACAGTCTTGGGAATTTCTACATCCTGTAGATCCATAGTAATAATAGCGTTCTCAAACAAGTATTTGGATACAGATACCGTAAGACGAAATCCGTTCGATTGAAGACTATATGCTTCAATCTGTGTAATGTAATCTTTTGCTGATGTCGGTAATGCGATATAAAGCGTTGTTAAAATTATTTTTAAACAATATTCTAATTTATTCAAGTCTCCTTTTCTTTTACCACGTGTACTCAATACTCCGTCTTCTTGTACAAGTAATTCTGTTCCTAATGCCTTTAGAAGACCCTTCCCATCCAATCTAGGGGCACTTCGACCGCCAATATTTAAAAGTTCTTTTAATTTTTCATAAGAATTGGAAGCTAACTCTCCGCAACTTAATTTCATATCAGCTCTTCCAAAAAATGCCTTTCTAATTAACGGTGTCCAAATATAAGTGTTAAGTTCGCATTCAGACATTGGTTGTAATAAAATATCATTTTTGTACATAAAGAAAAAATGATCCAACAGCGTTCGTGCATATATGAGATCATTAGACGCATTGCCCATATCGATTTGATTTTCATTTAAGCATTTAGCTAAAGATTCCAGATCACCTACATCAGAAAACTTCTTTAAGAATTGTATTACTTCCACTTCGCAGTCAACCACAAACTTAGGTATATGTTGTTCTTTATCAAAGTAAATGGCTTGACATTCAGGATCCTGAAGTTGACTTGAAATGAAATTTTTAAATTCATCGGACAAAAACTTTGTGCAATCCGAGTTATGAACATTGATCACTCCTATACATAGAGGGCTTTTTGTAGCTCCACTTTTTCCCATATTAGTATGAGCAGACCCCAATATATCTACCCCCCTATATATTAATTTTTTCCCTAGTAAAACGCACATTCCGTATGTCATTAAAACCTCTTTAGCTATATCATTGTTGATATAACCTCTAGTCGATTTTTTCCCTTTGCTATCGGTTGCTTTTATATTAGATTCGGTGAGATTATTAGATTCTTGCTTTTGTACTTCAGAAAATACATTTGTCAATGAAACTGGTGCAATTTCAGAGTCAGACGAAGACGATTCTTCATTATATGGTTGAGGACTAGAATTTCTAATTTCAGAGTTAGACGAAGATGATTCTTCATTATATGGTTGAGGACTAGAATTTCTAATCTGTGCATACGTCCGAAAGGTTAGCTAAATAATTAAAGAACATTTTGTGAAAATTAAATATTAAAATTATATCCTGACCCTGTTTGGCGGAGTTGATGTATAATCATCCGTACTTCGTCTTTTTTTTGAAAATAGATAGCTCTCAATATCGTCGCCATTTAAGTCTCGTTTTGGATTTGATCGATTAAGTGAATACTCTGCAATCATTTCAGATCCATGAAATTCACATGATGCTCTCACAAGATTAATGCCTTGCTTGTCCGCAATAATATTAACCTTTGACTAATTATAAACAAGTTCTGTTAAACATGCTAAATAATTACAGGTGCAAAGCCATTTTAAACCTACCTTTGAAATTGTAATGTTTTGTTGTCGCGTGATCTAATTGTAATGTTTAAAATTATAATTAAAAATGTTATTCTGCCAGTAGTGCTGGGAATTAGTAAAATAAACATACACCTACCTCCAATCGAGTAGAAATTACATTGTAGAAAATTTTTTGGATGCCCAAAAGATGACCCTTGTGAGTTAGTTAGATGTTTTTCATGATTAGTAAGACAATAGACCAGTTCACAAAACAAGAACAACAAAAAGGAACGTCGCGCATAGAGGGAGCAGTAAGTGTACTGATCCTCTTGACCAGGTAGTGACATGGTAAGATTTTTTAAAAACCCTCTAGCACTCGGCGAGTAAAGTACAGTACTCACTCCACGTCAGGTAGTGACATGACAGGAGGTGCCTTTCTATCAAAATTAACAAAATTGAAGCATATTCACCTTAACAGCCTTGTGGCCTTTTGCCTCTACTTCAAAAGTGAAACGTTTCCACCAAGTACCGTTGAGAGTATTAATATCACTTGCATCAGGTGGTGAATTTACGATCGTATTGAAATTTGAGGAAAGGAAGTCAGAAAAAGACCAGTTAGACGGATCATTATTATCGAGATAGGTAATGAGAGCTACAAAGAAATTTAAGCACAAGTAAATTAGCCGAAAGGTGACAGTCAATCCTCTTGTATTATTTGAATTTATACTCACCCGCATTGCCAGGATATGGCTTATTGTCTGCCATAGTGCTAGTGCTGTAGACGAATCCTGTGAAGTGGTCGAACGCGTCAAAAGTAAATCTTACGTTACACAGCCCCTATTCTTTCGGCCCAGGCGCATTTCAGGTGATCGTTTCCCACATGACCGAACTATGCTACAATTGTGGAAGTGGAAGCAAGTAAGACAATATTTTGTTCCATTCCTAGGATTTGATAATTAATTAATTCTGGATCAGTTATTTTACATTACACGTTTTAAAAATCAATCAAACATATTCTTTATTGCAAAGTAGTACATGAGAAAGGGCCGGTCAGCCAAGAAAAAATGAAAGTAAAAAATAATCGAGTAGCAGGATGTTTCAAGGGAGGAATTTACCACCTAATTCGCGAATTCCCATTGCCATATGGAGGCACATCTCTTCCAGGATATATCTTTTTTCTTCTCTAATTCGATTGAAAATTTGCTTGAATTGGGTCCAGACAGTTAGACTGATACTTTTGAAAAATATTTGACCCGAGCCTACAGGAGAAATATATTAGTAAGATACAAGCTATTAATAAAACGTTTTTTATTTTTCGCTTTGCTTGTTTACCAGAACTTCTGGAGGAACTTGGATTCGAAGCTTCATCAGCTGGACTCTTCGTGTAATTGCATAACATTGAATTAATCTGTTTTGGAGATCTTCGATAGAAACATTAATTGAGGCAAAATCATTACGACAGGCTTCTTCAGTAGCGCTTCCTTAGTGAAGTCATCATCATGTGCCTTGATTTTTTCAGCTTCTGCGGTAAGTTTACTATCGATTTCAGTATAAATTCCTATAAATTCCATTTAATTCCGCAGTGAAAAAAGAGTTAAAATCGGAAATACTCGTGCGGTAAGCTCATAAAAAAACAGCAGTTAAGGCCGAAAATGGCATGGATCCTGAAGAGTCGAATAATGTTAAACTGGACATGCTTAGGTAAATTGATGCGCAGTAATTTTATTGAGAGTTTATTGGTGGATCAAATAATAGCAATAGTTATCTTGCATAAATACACTGGGAGAAAGGTTTATTTTATACTTTATAGCTACTACACGTGAAATAAGAATTTTACTCAATTCATATAGGAAATTATGTTGCTTTATTTTTCATAATTACGTTGCTCGTAGGTGCCTAATTGTTGAAATAATAATACATGACACGTTAAAAATGTGAAATTGGTATTATGAATATTAATAAAGTACCGAGTAATTTGCTGTTTATTGCTAAGATCGCGCAAGATCATCTATCGATCTGCGGGAGATGGCTTACCCCGCTAGTATCATATTTCTTTTTTCGAATTAATGAGAAAAAAAGGTGCCTCCTATTCGTGCTCCATACAAATTTACTAACGACCCATAAATAGAAATTTGTTTTATTATATAGAATGTGACCAGAGACATACCCCTTACATTTTATAGAATCAAGATCTGTAAATCGGTAGATTAAGAGGCAATTTCCATTCTTGTCTCATTCTAACATCAGGGATATTGGATTGACTTGCGTAATGCTAATTCAAAGATTTGTAATATGTGTAAAATGCGCATTTAACAATAGTGCTTAAATGAAAATCCGCTTGTGAATAGTAGTTTTATAACAAATAATTTAATACTAATAGAGTAACACCATATCTCAAAATTTACCGCTTATTCTCAGTACCCCAGAATAGGAAGTTTAATTGTTCTTATTTCCCTTTCCAATTGATTATATCAAAAAAGGAAAATTATCAGAATAATCGTTCATTGCATAACATATACACGTAATTTGGATGAGCCTTCGAGGATCTGTAAATCATTGATTCTAATCCATTTTTGATTCTTTTTTACGACACCCTGTCTTACGATCAGCGAGGATATTAGTAATTCAGAACTGCGTAATGAATGAGATAAAACATACCAGAACTCTGGGGAAAGTTCATCAGTATAGCAATACAAAAATAATTCTCTTGGCCGAGTTTATTAATAGACTGGATCCTCTGCCTGAGCGCCTTCGGCAAAATAACAACTACAGATGTCAGTGACGTATTACTGCGCATAATATATTCTGCGGATATAATTTACATGAACCAGTGAGGCAGTGACATCTTACTGCAGGGCGCCAAAAGAAAATATAGATGACGTTTATATGTTATCTAAGCCACCCACGTGATTCGAAAAAAAAGAAATATACGATTTTGCATAATTCAGTCAATGCGAGTAATTGATTTGCCCAATAATTCTTTTATGCAGTTACCGGTGAGATAATAGGACTCATCATTGGGGAGGTTTTCCTTTCATAACCTTTATCACGATAATAATAATCTCTATCACGTTCATTATATTCATTATATCCATTATATCCACTATATCCATCATCATCTGAATCGTCTGGCACCTCTTCTTCAGAATCATTGTCATGACTACAATCACTATCATCATCTGCCTGGTCCCTGAGGGACCCTATAACTTTATTAGTTTCATAATACAAATCATCATTAACCGTATTCTTTGAACCGTTTCTAGAGGAATCATTTAAAAAATTACAGACAAGGGTTGAAAGAATAGGTGCAGTTGATATGCTTACCTGGTTCTTGAGAGACCTTTCAGCTGAATCAAAGCTTTGCTCTTACGCCTCTAATACATTAATCTGATTGTTTTTTAAAGTCTGATGATCATGCTTTAACGCCTAGTTCGGAGAACCCCTCTGGCTCAGCCCAGTGATCATTTTAGAAAACACATAGTCTATAATATTTTGGATTTGTATATTCTTAAGGCTCAAAATTGTATTTGCCTAATATATATATGCAATTAAGATATAGTACAAGATTATCAGGTGATTATGTTACATCATTACACGTAACATTTTTCAAGATTTACGACAAGAACAGATCCTGAAGGGATCACATAAAATAATATTTTATTTATGAAATAAAAAACGTTGCTAGAGCAACTGATACAAAAAAAACAATAATATATGTAATTACAGTCGCATTTCACTGTTGGGGTGTTTTAATTTTTAAATATACTATAATATGAATATTATCTTGAGAAAGTTGAGTGGAAAAGCGGGGAGAAATATTAGAAATTGGAGATAGTTCCGTCCCCTGAGTCCCATTTTTTATGCTTAGAAACAATGTTGTAATATTATCATTCACCAAATCATTGCTTAAAATTTCAACCGCACGGATTACGAATTCTGTGATTGGAATGTCATCAAAACAAGACGCACATTCTTTTTTAATTTTCGATCTAAGAGAATGAACGGATTCATTGATGCCAATATCGATTGTAACGAGATTTTGACGAGTGATTTCCCTGACTGGAATATTATCAGGAACAACAAGACAGTTAAGTCTGATTTCTGGCATTTTGCTTTTCCTTATTATAAAGGCCCATAGTGAATAAAATTTCGTCTGTATAGATGCAAAAATACTTCGAAACATTTTTTCTATAAGTGAATAAAATAAGTTACATACCTTTAAAATTTTGCGGGAATGTTGGCTGAACTTCTACATATTCCTACATGTTTTATATCTTGCTGGGAAAAGTTAAGAAGGTATGAGAGAGACAGTAATTAGTATTGTCGTCAGTCCCATGAAAGCACATGTAAACGGAATCCTCATACCTTTTCACACGTAGATCTACCAGAAAGACGCAAAGGTAGTTAGTTTTTGTAGATCTCAAAATTGTAAATCCCTCAGCCATTTATAACATATGCTTTTATCGGCACTATTTGCTTTTAGAGCTGGTCCTGTGTTGTGTGTAGACCTTCTTTCACATTTTTCTTACGATTGTTCAGAGAAAAAAATAAAGAATAACGATAAAGGTTAATATGTTTTCTTTTTTGAATATATGCAAAAATTAATATGTCGCACAAAACCTGATCCACTTATTTTTCTGTCATACGATCTGTGACTCAGCAAAAAATCTTCTGAGCTGGTGATTACCGCTCCGGTTGATGATCAGTATTTCAAACACAAATTTGAATAATGCTAACTAGAGATAAACACAATCATGACAAGAAATACTAATAATAATTCTGATAAAAGCAAAGCTCAATTATATGAAGTACTTTTGTATAAGAAGAAAGATATAATAGCTATTCAAAAAAAACTCAGTATAGATCCAGTCTGGGGAAAGGGACCTATTGAGAGTAGAAACCAAACAGCATTGAATCAAAGCAAAAAAGGAAAAACACTTGAAGATTCG